TATATATATATATATATATATATATATATATATATATATATATATATATATATATATATATATATATATATATATATATATATATATATATATATATATATATATATATATATATATATATATATATATATATATATATATATATATATATATATATATATATATATATATATATATATATATATATATATATATATATATATATATATATATATATATATATATATATATATATATATATATATATATATATATATATATTATATGTAATATTATGGAACTTTATAAAACATTTGAACCGTCAAACGTCAAATGCCAAACGTCCTTCTGTCAGCAGGTGGCGCTATGACTGTGACTCAATATTGGCATGTAGATGTCTTCAGGAGAGGAATGTCATCGTGATGTTTCAGGCAGGTCAGACATTGTTTGAGTTATAAGTACTTCCCTCCTCCATGGCAAAGTTGTCAGTCCGCTACGGACTCGCTCTTCGATGAAAACTCCAGATGCTAACAATTTCACATCGCCAAGGCCTTTAGATGACAATAGCTGATTTTGGTGTTGATCTGATAAAACCCCTAGGAGTAGTTCGTTAAAATACAACGCCTGAAAACGGCAAAATCTGCACTTTTTTGGAAAAGCAAATTTAAAGTATTTCTAACTTATTGTTGGGTTTGGGATTTTGCTCCAAGAGACTTTTTTGAAGCTTTTGGCATGTTTGACGTGTGCAATTATCATACGTGTGCGTGAAATGTAGCTCAGGGGCCAGTCCGTCAAACGTGCATAGATGGCGCTGTCGAGTCATTCACTTCCAAAACCTTTATCAAACGGAAACGTCCATCAAACGCCACTTCTAGGGGTGTGTGCAAAGTGTCGTGAGTATCCGAGCAAGTTTAGACTTTAGAAGATGCAATTCATTCTGGAGAACGATAATAATAGTAATAAAAATAATAATAAAAAATAATAATAAAAATAACATTCATTTATTCATTTTCTTTTCGGCTTAGTTCCTTTATTAATGTGTGGTCGCCACAGCGGAATGAACCGCCAACTTATCCAGCACATGTTTTTACGCAGCGGATGCCCTTCCAGCTGCAACTCATCTCTGGGAAACATCCATACACACTCATTCACACTCATACACTACAGACAATTTAACCAACCCAATTCACCTGTACCACAATTCTTTAGACTGTGGGGGAAACCGAAGCACCTGGAGGACAACCACGCAAACGCAGGGGGAACATGCAAACTCCACACAGAAATGGCAACTAATACAGCCGAGGCTCGAACCAGTGACCTGCTTGCTGTGAGACAACAGCACTACCTACTCCGCCACTGCCTTGCCCAATATAATAATAATAATAGCAACAATAACAACAACAACAATAATAATAATATTAATAACAAAAATATTAATAATAACATTAACAATAATAATATTAATAATAATAATAATAATAATAATAATATTAACAACAACAATAATGAATAATAATATTAATAATAATAATAATACTAATAATAATATTAATAATAACATTGATAACAATATTAATAATAATAATGATATTAATAATAATAACAATAATAATAGTAACAATATTATCAATAATAACAATAATAATAATAATAATAATAATAATAATAATAATAATAATAATAATAATAATAACAATAATATTATCAATAATAGTATTAATGTTAATAATAACCATATTATTGATAATAATAGCAGTAATAATAATAATAATAATAATAATAATAATGATAAAATAAAAAAATAATAATGATATTAGTAATAATAATAATAATAATAATAATAATAATAATAATAATAATAATAACAACAATATTATCAATAATAATATTAGTAATAATAACAATAATAATAATAACAATAATAATAATAATAAAAATGATAATAACAATAATAATAATAATAATAATAATAATAATAATAACAATATTATTAGTAATAATAGTATTAATGTTAATAATAACCATATTAATAATAATAATAGTAGTAGTAATAATAATAATAAATAATAATAATACCAATTTTATTATTATTAATATTAATAATAATATTAATACTACTACTACTAATAATAGTAACAATAATAATAATAATTCAATAATATTATTAATATTATTAATAATAATAACAACGATAATAATAATAATGATAATAAGAAGAATAACAATACTATTAATAATAAAATAGTAATAATAATAATAAATAATAATTATAATAATATTAATAATAATATTAATAATAATTATAATAATACTTCTAATAATAATAACATTAACAATAATAATAACAATAATAATAATAATAATAATAATAATAATAATAATAATAAAGATAATAATAATAATAATAATAATAATAATAATATAAATAATATTATTAATAATATTAATAATAATAATAATAAGAAGAAGAACAATAATAACAATAATAATAATAATAATAAATGGAGCAATTCCAAAAGGGTCTACGCACCACCAGCGCTCGGTCCCTAAAAACATCATTTGATGAATGCTGGAAACCTGTAACCGTTGTCTTCCAAAGTAGGAAAAACAAATACTGTGGGAGTCAATTGTTAGAGGTTTCCAACATTATTCAAAGGATCTTCTTTTGTGTTCAACAGAACAAAAGACAGTCAAACCGGTTTAGACTGAAACTGTTGGGTGATCTATCCCTGAACATTTGTGTAAGTCAGCTTAATGAGTGGAAGAGAAACACAAGAACACAAACATAAACACACATTTTTAGAGCCTCATTGTTGACAGTTTTTCCCCAGAAAGAAAAATGTGCCCAGTGGGAAACCCAGACAAACAGCACATTAGCTTTGTGAGGGCAATATAAAAGCGGTTTATTATTAAACCGCGTGGGTTTGACCTACGGCAAATACACACAGAGAGATTAGAGCAGCGCTGTGTGACGGATCTGTCTTCAGCCCTGATGACTGGACGCTCAGTGTGTGTGTGTGTGTGGGGAACAGATTGGTGATAATGACTTGATGGACTGTCCTTTACTTCACATCCTCAGAAAAACCACCGAACGGATGCAAAATTAGATACGGATGTGTCAGTCCGCTGACTGTCGGCTCCCTTTAAACCATTAATTAGTGTGGATTTGTGAGCATGGAGGTCTGAAGTGCAATAACAAAAACATAATGAGTTTTCCGACACATGTTCAATGGAGTGCAGGAACCGCCACCGCGCGATCTAATAAATAACATCCAATTTATTGATATCATAACACCTGTACAAGTGCTCACAGATCACATCGCACTGACATGAAACACACGCAGAAACAGAGACTGATGAATTCATTAGTGTATGCAGAATCATATTACAGTCATCAGTGATTGTTCACCTATATGAAGTGTTTTAATACTAATTAATTACGTTGTTTAATATGATATTTAATTTAATACTGATCATGATCTAATTTATTAAATTCATCACATTAGTGTGTTTGGAGGGGTTTTCAACAGCATTTGTCAAACTAATTAACTGAACACATCCAATTAAACACACAGATCTTGCATCTTGCTAAAAAAGAAATCTGCAGATTTCTGTGGGCCACAAGGTTATACGAGTTAGAGATGTTTCATTAGTTTTGGTTTTTGGTTTTTGTCTTTAAATTCAGTCCGTTTTCATTAGTATTTACTAGGTTTTATTAGTTTTTATATTTTGAAATTGCTTAGTGTTAGTTTATTTTTTATTAGTTTCAGGGTTTGAGTTTTATTTTGTAAATTAGGATATACAGTTGAAGTCATAATTATTAGCCCCCCTGAATTATCTCTATTAACTGATTTATTTTCTCTTTGTCATGATGACAGTAAATAATATTGGTCTAGATATTCTTTAAGACACTTCTATACAGCTTAAAGTGACATTGAAAGGCTTAACTAGGTTAATTAGGTTAATTAGGTTAAGGTTAGGGTAATTAGGCAAGTTATTGTATAACGAAGGTTTGTTCTGTAGACTATCAGAAATATATAGCTTAAAGGGGCTAATAATATTGACCTTAAAATGGTGTTTAAAATATTAAAAACTGCTTTTATTCTAGCCGAAATAAAACAAATAAGACTTTCTCCAGAAGAAAAAATATTATCAGACATACTGTGAACATTTCCTGAATCTGTTCAACATCATTTGAGA